TGTGAGAACATGAGAATGAATCTGAACCATTAGATTTTAAAATAAATGGTGGAGATTATGTGTCAGTTTTTTTTCTATCCTCCATCATTTATTTTAATAATAGTGGAGAGAGAAAAACAAAAACCACATATAATCTCCACCATTTATTTTAAAATCTAATAGTTCAGATTTATTCTTATGTTCTCATATAAAAATGACATTATCATAGGATATATATATATATATATATATATATATATATATATATAGAGAGAGAGAGAGAGAGAGAGAGAGAGAGAGAGAGAGAGAGAGAGAGAGAGGTTCCAACGCGCATTGAGGCTTCAATTAATGATTCATTCAAAAGAACACGATTAGGTTGAAATAGCTAATGGACTAGATTGGTCTTGTTGACCCAAGTCTAGCACATGCCAATATTTGATTGAGATATGATTAGGAACATGATTTTGATTGATGGTGGATACCATTATTCGGGATTCAGGAACAAGAGCGATCAAATTAAATTTTCTCTGATGAGCTTTTGTTTAAGGCGAGTCAAAGTTACTGTATAAGGAAAAGAGCACAAGAAGAACATATATACACAATTGAAAAGAGAATTTGACTTTAGCTTTATTGATTGTCAGTAGTAGAGTTATCATTGGTGTATTTTACGAGTACATTTGGCGCCCACCGTGGGGTCTGATAAAACTTCTTAAGCCAGACACGCCAAATCCAAACAACCTGAACCCATCTCATGATGATGGGGTCCTCCGCCAGTAGCAACTACAATAACAATAATGCAGGTGACTGGGTTGTCATTGAGGTGATGTTAGTCACTATGGATGAGTTGTGTTTCTAGAATGAAGCCCTGCATTAGAGCTCCATGATTTAACACAAAAAGAACATGTGGAATTGAATATGGTCAAGGACGGGGAACCCATTAATCCTCGACCACTCGCAAGAGATCCTTGATGTCATTCAATGGCAAGAGCGATCCCAAGAAGTAAATAATCTCCATCAACACCCATATGACTATCATTGGAGTATTTAACTCGCTAAAGTTAAAGAAAATGATTGGAACATTCAAATAAGTAGCCCGCATATGGTACAAGAGCATTCTGATGTTCTAAGTAATAAGTTACAAAATCATATGTCTGGAATTCAATGATTATGGTATATATAAGGCCAAAGTGTTGAAATAAAGGCCAGTGGTGAATGTAATTGTTATAAGCAGGTTTATGGAAAAAATTATAAAAAATGGTGCAACATAATTCAACAAAAATCACTTCATAAAAATATGAAAAATGGACAACGCTTTTACCAAAAAAACGCTATGAAAAAGTGATTTTTTTTAAAAAGAAATTCAATGACGTGAAGAAAAGACAACGCTTTTCATGAAAAAGCGCTGCTAAAAAAGGGGGGGGGAGAAAGAGAGCGCTTCTGAAAGCGCTGCTATAGGGGGGAAAAGACAGCGCTTAAAAAAGCGCTGCTAAAGGTGGGGGAATAAGCAGCGCTTTTATTAAGAAAAGCGCTGCTAAAGGTATTAAGTAAATACACTTTAGGCAACGCTTTTTTAAAAGCGCTGCTAAAGGTGGGGGAATAGAGAGTGTTTTTTTGAAAAGCGTTGCTAAAAGGTATTCAGCAAATACACTTTAGGCATCACTTTTGAAAAGCGCTGCTAAAGGTGGGGGGAAAAGAGAGCGCTTTTTTGGAAAAGCGCTGCTAAAAGTGGGCCTATAGCAGCGCTTTTTACTTAAAAAAAGCGCTGTCTTTACCTTTAGTAGCGTCACTTTAGGAAGCGCTTTTAAGCGCTGCTAAAGGCCAAAAAAAGCGCTGCTAAAGGTCTTTTTTAACACAGTGATTACTCTGAATGTTAATTGTAACTCCAAGAAGGTTGGTGGATGGAGTTATTATTGGGCTATGGCTTGTCACTCTCTTTGGTTCTGGCGTAACCAAAAAGAACATGTTGAGGAGTTTGTAAGGCCCTGTCATCCTTATTCTCATGTGTCCATTCGATTGAGAGAGTATGCTGAAGCCTTAGCTATGAACAATAAGGTTGTTAGTAGAATTAAGGAGGTTAGACAAGTTAAGTGGATGCCTCCCAGGTCAAGTATGGTGAAACTTAACGTGGATGAAGCTTGCATTGAAGGGGTTACTGCTGGTTGTAGGGGATTGATTAGAAATGAGGAGGGTTGTTAGTTGAGAGGTTTCTCAAAGAATGTGAGGGGAATTGTAGTAGCTATATGGCTGAGTTACGGGGTATTCTAGAAGGATTGATGTTTGCTTTAGATTTGAGTTTCAAGAGAATTAAAGTTAATTCAGATTCTTATAAGATTGTTTTAGAGATTAATCAAGGAAGAGCTAATAGAAGTGACAACCTAAAGATGCTTCGGAAGATTGAGAGTCTTTTAAGTCGCTTTGATGAGGCTTCTGTTTCACATGCTTTCAGGGAAGCAAATCAATGTGTTGATGCCCTGACTAAAGTTAGGTGTAAATCAAATTTGGATTTGACTTGTTCCTTTATTGCTCCTAGTTTTATTGAGCAATTGCTGGTAGAGAATAAGTTGGAGAACTTCACCTATAGAGAGGTGTTTTTGTAGTTTGTTTTTTTTCTTTGGATCTTTAGCTCTTACCATTACCACACAAAAATCTCACATAAAAGCGATGTTTGAGACCTAATATATCTCTTTATGATCCGTACTCATAACTATTTCTTAATAATTATTAATAGAAAACTTATTATGAAAGAAATAAAATCTTGTATACATTAATTTATTTTGACTATCATAAGTTACTACTATAGATGTTATTAATATTCATTCATAATATCACACATTCGTTTTATTTGAATAACATATTTTCACTTTAGTTAAATAACACATCCATTTATTTGAATAACATTCATTTATATTATTTGAATAACACATTTTTACATGAGTCATTTTATTTATTTAATTATTAATTATTCTTATATTTTAGTTTGATGAGTTAATTAAATCTTACAATTATTAATTAGAATTTTTATTAATTAAATTTTTTATTTCTTATAATAGATATTAGTTCGTAACAAATACATTTATTTTCACTGATATCAAATATCAAACTTAAACACTTACATTTTCAATAGGTTTTTGTAAAAATCAAATTAAATCAATCAAACTATTAAATTACCTTATACTATCATAACGATTATATATGTAAATTTAAAACAATTTAAACATCTATTTTATATATTTTAATAATTATTATTTACTTATTTTTTAATAAAATTTATTAAACATTGAAATATAATGATGTGATAAAATATCAAATAATTTTTTAATTTCTATATAGACTTAATCAACTTAATAATATCTCCCAAAATAATTTATCATTTAAAAAAATTATTAAAATGTATAACTATAATAACTTTGACATTGGTGTCATCAGAAAATCAACATTATTATAAATTACCTACACCTTATTAAGTATTAACCATATATTGATTTGGTTATAAAAATGTCATTTGTAGGACCCCACCTTCCACCTGAACCACTCAAAGAACAATAATGAAATACAAATGTCCCCACCAAAATCTTGCCCTCATTATAATTTGAAGCAAAAGAGTATAAAAAGGGTTCATACTATTAATATAAAAAAATTACCCCTTCGGTTTCATATAGTACAATGGAATTTATAAAAAAAAAATTCAACCTTTAAAAAATATCTCAATTCATTTAATTCTCATACTCTTTCTAGTTCTATTTTCTATTTTAAAAATCATTACAAATATAAAAATATAAAAAAAAGAAATATATTTAAAACAATAGTGTAATAATTATATATGATTTTTGCTTATATTTAAAATTATTGAAATTATTGTTTTTATATCTAAGACGAGATAGATTATTTTTTAGATTATATTGATTACTTAATGAATATTAGTTTTATAATAAAATAAAAAATATATTATATTATTACTAGTAACAACAAATTTTATACGGACAGTATAAAGAAGTTTTACACCGTTAGTGAATCATAATCATTAAATTGTAAATTATATTTTATTTTTATTTTAATTATTTATCAAATAATATTTGTGGGTGATTGTGATGTAAAATATTTTACACTGTATGCATAACAATTACTTTTTTTTTTGTTATACTTTCTCCATTCAACAAGTTTTGTTTTATTTGACCGTTTCATAAATATTAAAAAATATACTAAATTATAAAAAATATTACCAATTTTCATTTATTAATTATTGATATATTTTAATTAAAATAAATGAAAAGTCAAGAATAATAATTTATGAATAATGTAAATTGTATTAATTAAAATATGTAATTGTAGATATAATTTTAAGAAAATGATATATAAATTAATTAAATATCAAGTTCCTAGTAAATATAATAATAATAATAATAATAATAATAATAATAATAATAATAATAATAATAATAATATATCTAACAAAAATATCTTTGACCCAAGAATACTCAAATGAAATTGTAATAACTAAGAAACTTCTTTTAACTTAATCTAAAATATTGAATTCGAAAACATTCATTAACATACAATCTTATTTTAAAACAACTTCGTCGTATATTATAGTTCTCTTCGATCCGAAAGATTAATTTTTATAAAATAGAAAAAAACTTTATCATTCTCAAAAAATTAATCTCAATAGTTGAATATAAAAGAATTTCGTTATTTACAATGAACTTTTCTAATTGGAATGGCTAAACTCTACCATTTGAATGTAAAAGATATTTATGCTATGTAAAAAAAACAAAAATATCTCATGTTTTCCAAGATAAAAATAATTATGAGAGAGTGACCCATTGGCATATGCTTACAATTCCATTTTGATTCCTCAATGTCCCTCCATCCAAAGAATATCCATTCATTTTTTGTCCCAAGATTCTTCCCTTAAAAACCCACACAACCCATTTCATATTAAAACTTTTAATCAAATTTACCAATTCCATCTTTAAATATTAATTACCTTATATTATTCTCTTTCACAATTCCTTGCTTTCATCATGAACTCTTCTCTCTCTATAAATTCCTCTCTCTCTCCTCCTTTTCTCTCACCTCACTCCACCACCCTTTCTCCATCTTGTTCTTATTCCTCCAATTTCAATCCTCTTAATTCTATTAGATTTACAACTTTTCGAGCACAACCCATTACACCCTTTTGCAAAAAGGTTCGATTTTGGAACTTAGAACGGTTCGAGAGTGTCAAAAGAAGAAAAAGTTTGAAGCTTGACGCTACTACAAAAATGACTATTGATGAAGAAAGTTTGTTGAATGTTAGAGATGAAGAAGAGGGTCCTCCTGATTCTGTTTTGAATGACCATGAGAGTAATTCTAAACCTCGTAGAATTGCTCTATTTGTTGAGCCTTCTCCTTTTTCGTAAGTAGCTTTTTTTTCTCATTTCATTCAATGTAGAATCTTTTCAATATTGAAAAATCCATTTTTGTTGTGTATTTATTGTTTATTTGTGTTTTTGAGGTATAATTGTTCCAAGATGAAACATGTGACAACGTTGATCTTTGATTTTACTTGAGTTGACTTGTGTTATTGTTCTGATTTAAGGTTGATTTTGCAGTGTTTGATGAATTTGGGTTAGGTTTTATATATAGATCAATTGATTTGAAATTGGTTTGAATCTATAGAATTGATTATAGCTATAAGTTAATTCAATGGAAAGTGATTTATGATTGAGTGCTTCAATGGCTTTAATGATTAATATAGACGAAATTATACGGAAAGAGCAGGCAAACGCGCAACAAGCTGCGCCGCTAAGTTTTAACTTCAAGTTAGAATCAATTGTTGAAGAAAAATCAATTCTATTAGAGAATAATCAAACAAAAGTTTAAACTCAAATATGAATGATATAGATGAAATTTTTGTAGCATAGACGTATAAAACGTTGATGTGTCATGGCTACAATCGTGCACTGACCGACATGTTTTAAATCTTACTTCCATGACTTCTCGTTTCTGTCCGGCAGTGTCTGCATTAAGAGTTTACGATTACAACCTATTAAGAAAACAGTGTGATACCGAAGAATTTACCATAATAATTTGGTTCACGTCTTTTCTTTTTCAGATATGTGTCTGGATACAAGAATCGTTTTCAGAATTTTATAAAGTACCTCAGAGAAATGGGAGATGAGGTAACATCTTTACAATCCATTTGTTTGCTTTGTATAAACATGCTTATTTTGTTCGAAATTTGGTGCTTTTCTTTATCAACTAACTACATTTGCGCATGTAATATAGGTCTTGGTTGTAACAACACATGAAGGAGTACCTAAGGAATTTTACGGAGCACAACTAATTGGATCGAAGAGGTTGTTAGCGTTGATCTATTTAGCTTCTAGCTCTTTTTTTTTAAATCACTCTGATTGATACTAATCTGTTCTTTGAAGTTATGACGGCTTTTACATTCATAGCTTCATACTAATAATTTTCATTAATATATAAAATTGCAGTTTCCCTTTTCCTTGGTATCAGAAGGTACCACTCTCTTTGGCACTTAGTCCAAGAATAATTTCAGCAGTCGCCCAATTTAAGCCCGACATAATTCATGCTTCATCACCAGGCATAATGGTATGTCTTCAATTCATTCCTCTATCTTCTCGTTTATAATCTACTAAAACACAGACTCCTCTAGGAATAGGAGTGTCGGAGTGTACGACATACTTCAATATCTACACTTATATGTCACCTTTACAACACAAATTGGAAAAGTCACACAAGTGTCAGAAGAGTCAGACAAGTATCTTTAAAAAAAGGATTTTTCTTTTCTTCAACACTCTTTGAATCTGCGTCCGACACGTCAATGACTCTTGTAAAATACGTGTCGGACAATTAGTGTTTTAAAAAAAATAGTTTCTTTTTCCTTTCTTCAACACCATATATATTTTTTGGATAAACCTCACGCACATATAAAATGAAGCTAAAATACTATCATATATGTAACGGTGTCAGTGTCATATGTTTTTGACATTACCAGTGTCAGAGTGTTTGTGATTGTCGTGTTCGGTGTCTGTGTTTCATAGACTACTACTACTAGAATTGAAAGGCTTTTTAATATTTGACTCATTTGATATGAACTAAATTTCAGGTTTTTGGTGCTCTTATCATTGCAAAGCTTCTGTCGGTTCCTATTGTCATGTCCTATCATACCCATGTACCAGTGTAAGTTGTATATTTTATTCTAATTTCATATTTTCTGAATATCTTTTTAATATTTGCAAAGCTATAATCTCTTAGTGTTGTCAAATAGCTGCTATAGCAGTAGTATACCACTATAGCGTATCGAATTTGAAAAAACCGCTATTTTATGCAATCTGCAATTGATGACACTGTAATGTCTATAGTTCTTGAGATTAAAACTACTAGTTCTTATTTTTTGTTTTATATTTGGTTCAGATACATTCCAAGATACACATTTAGCTGGCTAGTGCAACCGATGTGGTTGGTTCTAAGTATGTATACTCTCTTGTTTTCTTCTTTCGATTTTGAATCATATTTTTTGTGCGAGTAACATGAATTTGTTGTTTTATAGAGTTTCTGCATAGAGCAGCCGATCTAACTCTCGTGCCATCGGCTGCCATTGCGAGGGATCTTGAAGAAGCTAGAGTAACAGCAGGTGAACATAAACTTTTATCAAACATTGGCATAATGAAACACTCATCATATACGTGCTTATGCATAAACTAGAGCCTGTTTGGATAAACAACTTATTTGAAGCATATATAGCACAAGTGCTTATTAAAATAAGCTCTTATGAATAAGATCGCATATGCTATTTTTGTAACAAAAGATAAAATGAATTTAAATTTCTTATGCTAATAAATACTTTCAAATAAGTCAATCCAATCAAGATCTTTATAGATGAAACACGCTTTATCTGACATTTTTTTCCTTTTGATGTCCAGCTAACAAGATTCGTCTTTGGAACAAGGGTGTTGATTCTGAAAGTTTCAATCCTCGATACAAGTCACATGAAATGCGATTGAGACTGAGGTGCGTACCTTTCGTCATTTGCATGTGCAAAAATAATGGGGTTTGATCTTATTCTTATACCTGTGTTATGCAGTAACGGTGAACCGGAGAAGCCCTTAATTGTTCATGTCGGACGACTTGGAGTTGAGAAGAGTTTAGATTTTCTCAAAAGGTAGATATCCTCTTCTAAACTCCCTGTTTACACCTAAAAATTGTTTTATTGGTTACACTTACAAGTTTTACAAGATGCATTTTCTAGTAATTCACTACGAAATGCACCGAACTCTAAGCTCGAATACCTGTTTCCTTCATTAACATCTGATACACACGACTTTGCAGTGTCATGGATAAGCTTCCGGAAGCACGAATCGCTTTTATTGGAGATGGACCTTACAGGTAACTTTGATATTAGTCCCTACATGAAGTAATTTCCCGTGACTGATAACTTATAAAGCATGAACATCGGAAACACGACATTGACACTGACACGTTGATATCGGTAAAATTTGAAAAAAATGAATAAATTAAACGTAATCACAATACACAGACACTGAAACCTTTTTTCAGAGGTGCCGGTGCTACATAGCTGATAATTAGTAGCTTTCTCTGGCAAGTTTTACAAATATGGATTGTTAACTAACAGGGAGGAGTTGGAGAAAATGTTTGAAGGCATGCCTGCAGTATTCACAGGAATGTTATCAGGAGAAGAACTATCTCAAACATACGCTAGCGGTGATGTTTTTGTTATGCCGTCAGAGTCCGAGACACTCGGTCAAGTTGTTTTGGAGGCCTTGTCTTCTGGAATTCCCGTCGTTGGAGCACGTGCCGGTGGAGTTCCCGACATAATCCCAGAAGATCAAGAAGGCAAAATTGGATACCTATACACTCCAGGCGATCTTGACGATTGCTTGAGCAAACTAGTACCTCTGTTGCACGACAAAGAGTTGAGAGAAACAATGGGAAAAGCCGCACGCATAGAGATGGAGAAATACGATTGGAGGGAAGCCACTAGAACGATTCGAAACAATAATTACAACACCGCGATTTGGTTCTGGCGCAAGAAAAAAGCTCAGCTATTGGTACCATTCCAATGGCTAACGAAACGTATTTTCCCGTCAGAAGTTGTAATAGATAATGAAAAACCAACCCCGACAGAAGTTGTAATAGAAAATGGAAAACCGACCGTATAAACTTTCGGAAGGTTCCTTAGGCCACAAGAAAGATTGAAGTCTTGCTGTATTAGACAAATGTGTGATTGGTTTATTGTAATGCATTCATTTGATGTATATATAGTGGATCAACATTTGTGCTATAGCTTTTGCCATATTTTGTAGCATTAAAATTATAATGTAGATTAAAGGTGAGTGTTAATTCATATTGTAGTAATTCACTTATTTCTGTTTGTTATTCAACTAGGATTGTGCAGCAGCTGGTACAACCTTATCATCATAATTGAATTGAGTCATCTCTTTGCTAAACTCCAATAATGATTGTTCCAACCAAAGACAGGCAGATCCAAATAAGCACATGCTTTAGCATAACCCAACAACAAAATATTCTATAGCCACCTTAAGCAGACCATCAAGATCCAAATAATGCACATCACCATTTATATTTCTTTATCCTAAAAGAACATTGTTGAACAAGTAACAGCAATGAAAGCTGATTTTCCATGATGGTGTTATGAGAAAATAAAAGTAATATTGAAGAATTATTCGTTTAATTCTTGAGAGAATACAAGCTGGAGTTAGTGTTCTTACTATTGGCATATGATGAATTAACTTGGCTTGTATTTTTGTTGCGAATAAGGTGACAATCCATTATGTGTTTTGTCTGTTTATAAAAGATTGAGTTAGATACAATGTGAATGGCACTTGCGTTGTTGCAGAAGATGGTTATTGGCTGCAGATGAAGGACAGAGAAGTCATTCAACAAATAAAGTAATTGTTCTGCATTGGCCAAATGCTTAATAAGAGAAAGTCCACCTCCGATTCAGAATTGGATCACTCCAACTATATTCTATAAAGGACTCTAGGTGAGGGGAAAAGTCTGATTTAAATCCATTCTCACCCTCATATCACTTTTCATTCTCTTACTGACTTGAGCATTTGAGTGCTAACCTTGCAGATCAACTCCTTTCTCCATCGTACCGAAAGCATACTCTACCATGTAAAAGTCCTATTTCATAGTTCACTGAACAATTGTGGTTCCACAATGGAACACTAACCATTGAGCTTCACAAGAAGCGTTAACAAGTGCTTTGTACTCAGATTCCGAGGAAGATCTTGATACTAGTTGTTATTTTTTTGCATTTCCAAATGATAAGACTGATTTCAAGGTAGACGTTTAAACAAGTTGTGCCCCAATCAGAGTCAGTAAATCCTGTTAGTTTGAGGTTAGAGTCAACTTTGAAAATAATCTTAGAGGAGGTGCATTCTTTATATAACACATAACTCTTGTGACAACTTGCATATGAGTGTTGGATGTATTTGAATAATACTGACTTAACTTACAAATATAATAGCTTATATCAGGACATGAATGTGTTAAGTACAAAAAGCTTACATATGATGCTTTTGAACTGAGTTAGGTAAACTAAAGGGAGATTATTATTAATGTCTATAATTTTGTACCTAACAACATTCATCATGACCTGCTGATCAGTGTTAGATATTGCACTGCACACATGCTGGAACATCGTGTTCCACATGTTGCATCAAAACATCCAAATTGTTGTGAATTATGATTCCTTAAAACAAAATATACTTGATTTTTTTATGATCAAGAAACCCACAAGGGTTAGGGTTAAGGAAAAATAAGGAGAACAACAAGGATTGGTTATAAATGCTATTATTTACTTTCTCTATAAAACATATTACAAGTACTCAAGAATAACAAATAATCCTCTCACTCTAATTAGGTTTTGTCATACCACACATAAGATGTGAGACTAGTATGCTATTTATAATAAAACCTAACATACTAAACTAATGGGTTTTTTAACAATTATCCATTACAAGCTAACTTAGGGTACACACTAACTTAAACAATTGGATCCTTAACACAAGGTCCAATTCGAAAACTACATACTAGAACACAATTCGACTATAGCATGTAGGTCTTCGACAACAACATGTGAGCAAACTTCGACGACATGCTAACTAGAGTTCGGTCCAATATCTCACAAATCTCCACCTTGGATCTAACTCTACCATCAAGAAACAAACTAGATTTCTTCACGCATCTTTATCAACTACAGACAGTGGAAAAACTTGCATCTGGGCAATGTCTTGGTCATCATATCAGCAACATTATGATTTGTCAAAATTTTCAACACTTGGTGCTTGGTTCGCTCATGATAGGTTGAATTCTTCGACAGGTGTATCGCACTTTGACTATCACATTTAACAATGACAACTCGACCTTGAAGTTTAATCTCTTTTGCAAAACCTTCAAGCCACAATGCTTCCTTCATATCTTTAGTTAGGGTGATATATTTTGCTTCAGTGGTTGATAACGCAACAACCTTCTGAAGTGCTGCTTTCCAACTGATTGTTGTGCCAAACATAGTGAACACATATTCAAAAATAAATTTTCTGGAATCCATACAACCTGCATAATCTGAGTCGACAGGTTCTTCTATTGCTACTTTACTATCTTCACCCAAGACTCCACCATAAATTAGGACCTTGTTCAGAGACCCATTTATATACCTTAGAATCCACTTTAATGCTTGTCAGTGAGTCTTTCCAGAATTCGCCATGTACCTGCTTACAAGACTTACTGCATATGCTATGTCGGGTCTAGTACATACCATAACATACATAAAAAACCCCACTATATTAGCATATGAAATGTTATTCATATAAGCTCTTTCGACATCAGTACTGGAACGCTAATATATACTCAGCTTGAATTGAGGGTTTGTCAGCATCACAACAGACTTTGAATTCGACATACCAAAATTTTCGAGAATCTTCAGTAGGTATGCCTCTTGAGATAAGCATAATTTCGACTACTTTCTATCTCTTCGGATGTTAATCCTAAGAATCCTGGACGCAGCTTCCAGATTCTTCATGTCGAACTCCTTATTGAGTTCAACCTTCACCCTCATTACATCTTCAGCATTGTTACTTGCTATTAGAATATCATCCACATAAAGCAACAAAATAACAAATGAATTACCAAGTCAAAATTTAAAGTAAACACAGTGGTCGAACTGACTTCTAATGAAACTTATGCGTGCCATGAACTTGTCGAATCTTCTATTCCACTGTCGAGGAGATTGTTTCAGTCCATATAAAAATCTATTTAGCTTGCACACATAATCTTCCTTCCCCTTTTCGACATACCCTTCAGGTTGCCTCATCAGGATTGTTTCATCTAGATCACCATACAAGAACGCAGTCTTCACATCCATCTGTTCTAGTTAAAGGTCGAACTGTGACACCGTGGCAAACAACATTTGAATTGATATGTGCTTCACGACATGAGAGAACACATCATTAAAGTCGACACTTTCTTTTTGAGTGAACCCCCTAGCGACCAATCTTGCCTTGTATCTCTTCGATGCCACTCATTCGATTCCTTCCTTAACTTTGAAAATTCATTCACAACTGACTAATCTGACTCCAGCAGGTTTCTTGATAAGTTCTCAAGTGTTTTTATCATGAAGAGATTTCATTTCATCATCCATGGCCTTCAGCCATTTAGTCTTCTTTCGACTCCTCATAACTTTCTTATAGTCTCTAGGTTCTTCGTCTAGAATCTCACTTGCAGAGACTAAGGAATAAGCTATAAGATCTGCATACTCAAGCCTCTGAGTTGACTTGATGACTCTTCTCGACCTATCTTTTGCTAGCAGGTAGTCATTATCAGTCTCCTCATCTTCGACAACATCTTCTGCATCTTCTTGATAAGTTTCAAATCAAATTTTTATTTGAAGTTTTTATAAAAAAAAAATTTTGATAAATTTTGATCAAACAAAAATATGTAATATTATAAAATTATTTATAAAAAAAATAAACAAAAAAAAAGGACATACATGCACAAATGAGGGGTAAGAAGTAGTAGTAGATTCTTTCTATGATTAATTGGACTGGCTGAAATAAACACAAGCGGCCTATTAGTTGTTTCAGCCCATAGCTTTCGCACTTATCTTCTTGTTCAAAATCATAGCTAATTATGGGGCATAGAATATTCATATTTAGAGGAATTCAATTTGGAAATAATCTAATTATTTTGTCAAGTCATTCCCAAAGATATTTTGTCAAGCAAATAAATATTGTTGTAAAGTTAAACAAATGCAAAAATATGTTGTTGTTTAGAAATAGTCTAAGTAGACTTGTATATTTTATGGTTACTTGATAGAAACATTTGATATTTGAGAGATACAATGAAATATAGCATTAGATTAGTCATTGTATTAAAAGTATACAATGTTGTTCGAAGAAGATTGTTTTTATGAAAACGTATATTTACGAGTATACAGAGAGTCAGTTTGTTTTAGTTTTAAAAATATAATATTTTTAAAATATTTTTAAAAATATTACAAAGTTTTTTAAATTTGGTTTTTATAAATTAAAAGACAAATTTTGACATACTATTATATAAATATACATTATTAAAGATTAAAACATAGTCAATATCATAGTTTTTTCAAAAAGTATTATCTTAAAAATGATTTTTATGATAAACTATTTGAAATAACTTCAAAATTAAGTGATTTTTTGAAATTTTAACAACCAAATTTTTTTCCGATAAAATTGTGAAATACATAAAATAGCATTTTAAAAATAACTATTCAAATCAAATTTTCAAATTGAAATTATTATAAAAAGTTTCTGTGTAATTTTTTTTTATACCAAAATATGTTATTCTTTAAAAATTATTTTTAAAAAAGACTAAACAAACGGGCTTAGAATCTGTTTGTTTTACTTTAAAAAAAAGTGAACTTTTTATTTTTAAAAGTAGATTTTATAAAATTGTTTTTAAAAATATTTTAAGTTTTTTATATTTGTTTTTTTTTTAATTTAAAAGACTAATTTTAACATTATATAACATAAATATACATTACTGAATATCAAAATATATTTGAAATTGTAATTTTTAAAAAAAGTTGTATCTCAAAAAGGATTTTTATGAAAATCTATATGAAATAGCTTCAAAATTAAGTTAGTTTTTTGAATTT